TATGTACAATTACAAGAAACCCTCATGAGCGGAACAACGGCTCGCTGGGCTAGTGCCTGAGGCAGGTTCAGTCCTGTACTACTGTATTGTATTGTATTGTAACGTCCCACGTGTTGCACCACAACATCCAAGAAATGTGAGTCTTGGCTTTTACTTGAGGCCAGGTGCTGGCAGTGTGTGCGGCTTTCTGTGCTTGCTTCCATGGTTGCAAACATGGCTGCAACACAGTTTGCCGCACTGGCTATGCGCCTTTGGATTGGGAGCATGCATGGACTGCAGGACATCAACAATTCCTAGCTTGCACAACAGTCATGGTGCCTGTGCTCAGCGTAGGAACATGCCAGCTGCTGCCGCTGAGCAAGCGCTCCACACACATAACATCATTTTGCTTTGCCACTGTTTTGGTGCTCCTGCTTCGTCCCGCCCATGCCCATGTTCGCTACGAGCCCACCCCTGGTTGTGCCGGAGCACCACCAACCATCCACTCAAGACATATGACAGACCCAGCATTTGTTGGTTGCAAGACAAGCAGTGTAGCCGCCGCACCATGGAGACACTGTGTAACGTCCCACGTGTTGCACCACAACATCCAAGAAATGTGAGTCTTGGCTTTTATTTGAGGCCAGGTGCTGGCAGTGTGTGCGGCTTTCTGTGCTTGCTTCCATGGTTGCAAACATGGCTGCAACACAGCTTGCCGCACTGGCTATGCACCTTTGGATTGGGAGCATGCATGGACTGCAGGACATCAACAATTCCTAGCTTGCACAACAGTCATGGTGCCTGTGCTCAGCGTAGGAACATGCCAGCTGCTGCCGCTGAGCAAGCGCTCCACACACATAACATCATTTTGCTTTGCCACTGTTTTGCTGCTCCTGCTTCGTCCCGCCCATGCCCATGTTTGCTACGAGCCCACCCCTGGTTGTGCCGGAGCACCACCAACCATCCACTCAAGACATATGACAGACCCAGCATTTGTTGGTTGCAAGACAAGCAGTGTAGCAGCCGTACCTTGGAGACACTGTGTAACGTCCCACGTGTTGCACCACAACATCCAAGAAAAGTGAGTTTGAGCTTGAGGCCAGGTGCTGGCAGTGTGTGCGGCTTTCTGTGCTTGCTTCCATGGTTGCAAACATGGCTGCAACACAGCTTGCCGCACTGGCTATGCACCTTTGGATTGGGAGCATGCATGGACTGCAGGACATCAACAATTCCTAGCTTGCACAACAGTCATGGTGCCTGTGCTCAGCGTAGGAACATGCCAGCTGCTGCCGCTGAGCAAGCGCTCCACACACATAACATCATTTTGCTTTGCCACTGTTTTGCTGCTCCTGCTTCGTCCCGCCCATGCCCATGTTTGCTACGAGCCCACCCCTGGTTGTGCCGGAGCACCACCAACCATCCACTCAAGACATATGACAGACCCAGCATTTGTTGGTTGCAAGACAAGCAGTGTAGCCGCCGCACCATGGAGACACTGTGTAACGTCCCACGTGTTGCACCACAACATCCAAGAAATGTGAGTCTTGGCTTTTATTTGAGGCCAGGTGCTGGCAGTGTGTGCGGCTTTCTGTGCTTGCTTCCATGGTTGCAAACATGGCTGCAACACAGCTTGCCGCACTGGCTATGCACCTTTGGATTGGGAGCATGCATGGACTGCAGGACATCAACAATTCCTAGCTTGCACAACAGTCATGGTGCCTGTGCTCAGCGTAGGAACATGCCAGCTGCTTCCGCTGAGCAAGCGCTCTACACACATAACATCCTTTTGCTGTGCCGCTGTCCTGCTGCTCGAGCTTCTTCCCGCCCATGCCCATGTTTGCTACGAGCCCGCCCCTGGTTGTGCCGGAGCACCACCAACCATCCACTCAAGACATATGACAGACCCAGCATTTGTTGGTTGCAAGACAAGCAGTGTAGCAGCCTTACCATGGAGACACTGTGTAACGTCCCACGTGTTGCACCACAACATCCAAGAAATGTGAGTCTTGGCTTTTATTTGAGGCCAGGTGCTGGCAGTGTGTGCGGCTTTCTGTGCTTGCTTCCATGGTTGCAAACATGGCTGCAACACAGCTTGCCGCACTGGCTATGCACCTTTGGATTGGGAGCATGCATGGACTGCAGGACATTCACCTTCCCTAGCCTGTACAACAGTCATGGTGCATGTGCTCAGGGTGAGAACATGCCAGCTGCTGCCGCTGAGCAAGCGCTCCACACACATAACATCCTTTTGCTTTGCCGCTGTCCTGCTGCTCCTGCTCCTCCCATGCCCATGTTCCTCACGAGCCAACCCCTTCGTTAAGGGATCGTCTCAAGATATGTGACTGAACCAGCAATACAAGGTAGTCGCTGCAGGTGCGCCAGCAACACTCCAATGGTCAACCAACGGTCGGTGAGCCACGAATAACAAAGGTTTGTGCTGCCCGCGGCGCTTGGTGGTGCCGGTGTGACAGGTGTTCAGTGGAGGAGCTCTGTTTCAAGCAGCTCTGTTGACGTGCCTTTATTTCTGACTGCAGGTGCGCAGGCAGCTCTCCAACGTTCACCACCAGCAATCATTAGCACAGCGGCATCAGTACAGCAGCAGCACCAGCACAGCAGCAACACCAGCACAGCAGCAGCACCAGCAGCAGCCTTGTTCTCCGCATCCAGTGCCCGCCATCCGTGTGTCTGTGTGGTTGTGTGTCTCTGTGTCTGTGCGTCTGTGTGTCTGTGAGTTCTGGGTGTCTGGGTGTCTGGGTGTATGTGTGTCCAACGTCCGATGCTGGGCGTTGGTTGGACTTCAACACTTTGCTCAAGCTGTACAGCAGTGCACCTCAGTCCAGCATCAACCACCAGTCTTACAAGCAGCAACAACAATTGAGTACTTTCCCGAGCCTGTCCTGCAGTGATCGCAGCCCATAACTTTGCCCCAGCTTTCCAGCCCATGCATCGCAGCCATCACTTGCCCCCAGCGTTTCGGCTCATGCATTGCAGCCCATTCACTTGAGCCCAGCAATCCGGCTCATGAATAGCAGCCCGTTACTTGAGCCTAGCATTAAAGGCAGTGCATCCCAGCCCAGCACTTCGCCACAGCATGTCAATCAGCGCATCCCAGCCCAGCACTCCCTCGCAGCACGTCAAGCAGCGCATTCCAACCCAGTCCAGCACTTTGCCACAGCATATAGTAAGCAGTGCATCCCAGCCCAGCACTTTCCCACAGTCTGTCGAGCAGTGTATCCCAGCCCAGCACTTTGCCACAGCAGCGCGTTGCAGAAGCACTTGCCGCATCCTGCCTTGGTGTTTCCTCGCTTGCTCTTCGCTCTTCGCTCTTCGCTCGCTCGCTCTTCTCCCTCAGATGTTTCCGGGCTGTTTTGCTGTTGTTTTGTTATACCTTCTTTGGCCTGTGCATTGACAACATGGACAATGACAACATGGACAATGACATCATGGACAATATGGCAACCTGGACTGAAACATGGTCAACCAAATTTTGCACAATGACAACCTGGGCAATGGCAGCATGGGAATGTCAATCTGAAGACAACCACGACAACATGGACAAACAAAGTTTGGCAGCTGCACAATGACAACCTGGTCAACTTGAAAGCAACAAATTGGAAATGGGCATTATGGAAATGGAATTAGAGTTGTAAGGACCGCGCTTGTGAGGGAGGAATGTGCGTAGTCGGCACTGGATGATGGGGCTGATGGCCATGTGCACGTGTCATATTGTGTCTTTATTTGGGACCTATGAATCATGTTGTTGGTTGAATGTTGACCAATCGCTTGATTGATTGCAAGGGGTGGGGACCCCAGTTTTATTGGGCCCTTAGTGAGCAGGCTTCTCGTGGCGGGTCTGGGGTTCCTGAGTAAGGAATGCGAATGGCTCACAACTGTGTGTGGTGTCTGTGTGGTGTCTGTGTGGTGTCTGTGTGTACTCATGCTATGTCCAGTGAAATGCATTTCTTTGCTTTGAATGGTCCCCACCCTTTAATGGTTTGCACATCAGCTGGGTCCCCACCCTGCATACTGATATGCCCCCAATGAGCCTCTTGTTGGCTCCTGCATGGGGTTCCCACTCCTTGATGGGTGGAGCATGTAAAGTGAAGTAAAGTAAGTTATGGGTGCCCACCCTGTTGCACTATATTTGTATCGAGTGAGCTCCGCTGCTATGACCCAGGTTCGAATCCTGGTCCGACCGCCTGTGGCTGGGCATAAAAGCAGCTGGAAGTGACAGACTTGCGCGGGTGGTTTCGATCGCCCAAACAAAACGAAGAGACTGGGTACAACCACGATCACCACATGAGCGGAGTATTGGTTTGCTGGGCTAGTTCTCTCAACCTCAGCAAACATTTGATATTTCTGCCCTATGCCGGCTTGCAGGCAGGGTGGTGCTTGAAATGCAATTAACTTGGCGTACAGCTGCTGATTGTCACCTGCTGCCCAGGATACAAGCTGGCCTCCAGGCCATTGACCAAAAGGCCAGGTGGCACCTGCCCCAAACACCCTGCCCGCCTGTCTACTGAAGCTGGCCAACCACCTGGCCCTTGAAGATGGTGTTGTCACTCTCAGCTGGTGCCTCCAGAGGTGTGTGTGCTGCAACAGATTGTCTGGGCTCTGTAAACTGGTGCAACAAAGTGGCTGCTTGCATTGTACGCAATACTTGGGATTGTTAATGCTGCATGTCCGCCAGCTGCATAGCAGCGTCTGTGCTGGGCTTTGCTGGCTGTGCTTGGCTGTCTGCTGACCAGCGCCCGCTAAGCCTGAGTGCTGCCGTTTGATTGCCCTTCAATGCGCCTGCAGGCGCAGCTGTCTACGCCTCACAAGCATCCGGGACACCAACTCCACACTATTCTTGATCCCAACAACCCTTTCTCTGCTTTATCTGCTCGACTGCTGTTTGGGCAGCGTGGTGTCTCAGAAACCCTAACCAGGCGTGACGCCCCTCTCGTTCGCGAGTTGCGTAAGACGGAACCAACCTGCTAGGGGGTCTGGCCACAAAGCTCAAACAGCACAACAGCACCGACTCTGCTCAGTGGCCTGAGCCTTGGCTTTATAGCCCAAGGTGTGGGTTCAAATCCCACCAGAGTCATGTTTTTTTTTGTTGGATGTCTGATATCTATCAGGTGCGCAGACACATGCAGACAGAAAGCAGCACACATATGTGCTCAGCAAGGTTGCTTGTGGACTCAAGCATGTCAGATTTGGTGTGAACAACTTTCAACTGGCACAGTTGTTTGGGGGTGGCAGCAGCAGCAGCATCAGCAGATCAGCAGCATCAGCATGCATAAGCATGCCATGCACGACAGCCCTTAGAGTACTCCACTAGTGGCATAGGGGTGACAGGTGCTGAGCACAAGCTGACTTAATCGGGGCACAGCAGGAGCGGCAGCAGCTGTCATAGTCGATCAGCTGTACTTCTGAGACTGGCAAGTTGACGGTGCTGTAAGCAGGTGCCAGGTGATCCTAGGGCCACTTGCAGCAGCTGACAACCAGACATGATGGTGTCTCAGCCTGCCACCATGAATGAAGCAACACAGTATGGTACAGAAGTATTGCAAAATGATTGCAAAATGATGACCATCACACACATCTGCAGCGGCTAAACAAAGCCTTGGTGAAGGTTGATGGATCTATTTGTCACTATAGATCTAGCTAGTGGTTGCCCAATGAGCCTGTCATTGGCTCGGAAAACGGGCAATGTTCGCGTCGTGTAACATCCAAACTGTGGAACTGTGACTACTTTGTAACTTCAAGTAGTTTGCTTCCTTGACACATCTGACACAGTAATGGCCTGCTAGTTGGTTAGCACACACCACAGCAGATCGCAACACTTGCCTGACCGGCCTTTTGTTTCACCCTGTGTGGTAGCTTCAGCCCCGCATCACACCTCATCGAGTACAGATGGCCAGTTGTACAGTCAATGATACATGTTAGCCCAGAAATCGCTGGTCAGAGTCAAATTCACGAATGTCTCGCCTTGCTAGCCTAGTTGGGGAAGCATTGCCAGCTGTAATATTCTTGTAACCAACTGTGTCACCTGCAGCACCTGGCCCATGAGTTTCATGTTGAGTTGCAAACTGCCAGCCGGTGGAAGTATTACCACTTGCAGTTGGTTCATCATCATCATCATCATCATCATCATCATCATCATCATCATCATCATCATCATCATCAACATATTACCCATTCAAGCCATAGCATCAGCGCCATCGGCCCCGCACCCCACCGGGGCGGAAAGAGGAGGGAGCACTGCTCCAGAATGATTGCATGCATTGCGCACATCCCAAGACTCGACAAGAAAAGCAGCAATACACGGTGACACCATCCGACATCTTCCAGGCCCCAAATATCATCAGATACAAAACACAACACCTTGATTGACGAATCAGCCATGGACAAAATGCTGCGCAACTTTTCAGCGCAACCAGGCAGGGATCTGATCTCAGCAAACATGCTATCCCTTTGAGCAAATGTAGCAGGGCAATCTAACATCAAGTGTGACAAAGACTCAACCTCTGCACCACAACAAGGACATCCTGAAGTGAAGTTAGCTCTGCGACCCCCAAACTGACTGGTACGCTCATGTACACACAGACAACCCATACGATCACGCAAAAGAAAATCAGTACCACGTGGTGTTGCCACTGAACGCAAGTACGGCCTAAGCCTCCTGAAACCCATAGCATCAACATGAGTGATTTGGGCACATGAGCAACATACCGACTCACAGTGGAGTGTTCCAACATTTCACATGCAATCCTTTCAGCATGGAGTGTCCTGACCTGCTTGTTTAACATGGCTCTTGCACGCACTGGCTCTTCCTTCCGCGGTCACAACATTCACACCATTCTTGCACAGCAGGCTCTGCACATACTTGTGCCACGGTGTCACCGCCACAGCACCACTAGGACGCCTCCATTCAGCTGTATTACCACTTGCAGTCGGTTTACATGCTTGCTGACTTTGCATGTAAGAATGATGCATGCATGCAAACAGGCTGCGTATACTGCCATTTGATGGCCTTGTGCTAATTGTTAACGTTGTTCCAGATTTGCCAGCTGCAGGTCAGCATCATATGTACCTTCAAAATATGAAGTTCACACGGTTTGAACTCACCACTTGCAGTTCGTCTACATGCTTGCGGATTGAGCAGTAACAATGTGTGTTGCACAGGGTCTGTTCATGCTGCCCTTTGTGTTGATTGGCGATTTGTTTAGATCTGCCAGGTCAGCTGCAGTGAGCCAGGCAGGCCTGGGCTGATGTCATGTGGACACTACTGCAGGTCACGACAATGAATTGTGTTTGTTAACTTGACTTGGATGAGTGCACGTATCACATATGCTTCGCTGCTGCAAGGGTCCAGCGAGGGTCCAGCACCTTGCATGCTGGGAGTTGGTTTGTACACAGTAACATTGGCAGCTGAGCCCTGCACCTCTGTGACGTGGACCACTGCAGAATGGGCTAATGAGCTGTGGTTACAACGAGCGTGCTTGCTGGTTTGCTTCGCAAACGCTTCAGAAGTAGGGGAGTCAAGCTCACACACACCAATCACAGGATGAAGTAGGGCATTCCGTTGCACTAGGCGCATGGCTGATTTGATCGCAGCCGCTGTATGCAATGGATCGTCTTTGCAGCTGGCGCACGCTCTCAACAAGTTTGCAAAGGATGTGAACAGGTGCGCACTGCGATAATTCGTTTAGGCTGCGGTCGTGATGCCAACGGGTTGAAAACAGGTAGTGCTATGTGCAGGCCCACCGCCTTTGAGACGTACCCGCTTCATCTTGCGGTGAGCAGCAGACTGTGGCTTGCGCAGCTCAAGTGATTGAGCTTCAACCATGCAACACCCCGCACACCTTATGTACCTTGATGCCAAGAAACACTCCTTTGCATACAGCATGCTCACTCAGTTGCTGTTTACATGCTGCTGCCACAGCATTACTACAACATGCAGAGCAGCATGCCTGCAACATGGTCTGCTGGTGCTGCTGCAGGTTTGGCGCAACTCACTGCCAGCTGTGCAGCAGTTGCTGGAGGCAGGAGCAGATGCAAACTTGCAGGATGGCGAGTCAGGCTGGTACGCGGCTGCAGCATTAGACAACACATTCAGCTATTGAGCGGGGTGCATGCTCCGTGGCCACCGACAGCAGCTGCATGGCAGCAGAGCATGCTGTGCCAGCGTTTTGCGGTGTTTGGGTCGATCGATTCAGCAGCTGGGCGCAGGATGCCCAACAGCAGGTCGCAGGGTGAGCAGAAGTGCATGCAGCTGCTTTGTACTGGTGTGCAGTGCCAGCTGTCCAGCATGCTGCATCCTGCAGGAAACAAGGTGCAGCATGGCTCTCAGGACTGCACAGGAGGCAGTGCACACCTGCGGCTGCCTACGCCGTGGATGTTCCAATTGGATCCTCCTGTGTTCTGCGTGTTGCTAGGTCTGCTGTGCACAAGTCGCTGCATCAGGGCAGCCTGGGGCTTGCCGCGCTGCTGCTGGCGCATGGGGGCTCGCTGGATGTATCCGACAGCAAGGTGCCGCGTTGTGGTCGTCTCGTGGGGCATGAATCTTGGGGCGTGAAGAACACCATGAACAGATATAAGCAACAGAGGTGGTGGTGGCAGCAGCAGCACAGCTGGCAACGGCATGCGTGGCGACAACGGCTGTAGTTGTGTGAAAGGCAGGAGCAGCAGGACAACTGCGGCAGGTACCCAAGCGTACACTGCCCAGGCTTGGATGCGTGTGTGGTTCACATGGTTTATTGTGTGCCTTGTGTAGGTAGGCAACAACAGGTAGGCAACTACAAGGCTGATGGTCCACTTCATCAACACGCGCGTGTTTGTTTTGCCTTTGCATCATTGCACCTGCCTGTTTGCCCTGCAGGGTCGGCTGCCTGTTGATCTGCTGTCAAGGGAGCTCAGGCAGCAGCTGCAAGTGGCACAGGCAGGCAGCTCAACAGCAGCAGCAGGGCTAGGGCAAGCAGGTGCAGCTGTGGGTGCTACGAGTCTGGCTGGCTTCAGCTGCCTCTACAGCTGGGGCAACGGAGCAAACCTGACGCTGGGCACAGGTGAGCGGCTGCAGCTGGCAGTGTTGAGTACGACTCACTGACACTTTTCTGCACCACAAGTGAGGGGCTGCAGCTGGCAGGCAGACTGCTTGGTGTCAGGGCTACCTGTGGGCTGGTTGGTCTTGCAGGAACTCTTTTTGCAGGAAGATCTTGCAGGAAGCTTTCGCTTGTGGTTGGTTGCGACAGCGCCAAGGCACTCACTGTTGTGACGTGCTGGCTGTTGCTGAGTACTGCAAGCATTCATGTGCTTGCGCTGCCAGTTGTTTTTGGCAGCTGCAACCGTGTAGTAAGGCCTGTTTGCATGGTTGTGCCGTGTCGCTGCTTGCAGGATCCACTGACCTGCACTTATCGCCAGTGAGGGTGGAGCTGCACCACCCAGACGCAGCAGCTCCAGCAAGCAACAACAGCAGTGGCGGCGACAGCAGCAGCGGGCCCACAGCTGGCACCAGTTCCAACAGCACCAGCAGCAGCAGCAGCAGCAGCAACCAAGCGGCAGGTGTAGCTCCACTACCGGCTGAGCAGATTGTTGCGGCCTCGGCTGCCAAGTTCCACTCTGCTGTGGTGACTGGTGATGGCCGATTGTATACGTTTGGCTACGGCCGGGGCGGGCGGCTGGGCCACGCTGATTTCCACATCCACAGCGGCAGCAGCGCCCAGGTACTCAGGGACAGCCACTATGGCATTGCTAGATGTAAGCTCCTGCTGCAGTGGTGGATTGAGAGCAGCCATGAGGTTACAAGTGTTTGGCAATGCCCTTATGTACACTCTCCTATTCAGAAGCATAGTGTCACGTTGCCTGTATTGGTGCGGGGTATAGAAGTGACCGCCAACTGGCTCATGATCCCATCACGCACAGGGCCGGTGCAGCTGTTGGGGGACTGTAGGCAGATCAGCACAGCGCATGCGCTGCTGTTGCATTTCAACACGATCTTTGTTCATTACGCTCCCCCCCCCCCCGCGCGCTGCCTCTGCATGCAGATCTTTCCTCGCTTGGTGGCTGGCTTGGGCAAGCGCACTGTGGTGGCTGTGGCTGCTG